TCCATATTTGGTGAGAACAAGGTCGGTGACACTGTCATCTAAATTCTAAAACAAGCCTTCAGAAAATGAAGCTCCATGAATGGACTCTAGCTTTTAGACTAAATGAGACCCCTTCTTAGAGCTGTGTTTTTAAGCAAAGATAAAAACACAACAGCAGGCACTCGGAGAGACAATCAAGTGTTAGTGTGCACGCGTCTTGATTTAGTTGGCTCATGATGCACAGAAGCAAGTGTAAAACCTTTTCTCTGAGGTAGTAATTATGTTTTCAGTCAAAATTATAACTTGGTTTCAGCCCAAATGATAGGTTTTTTTTTTTTTTTTTAAAGATTTTATTTATTTTACTTTTCCCCCCAAAGCCCCAGTGGATAGTTGTATGTTGTAGCTGCACATCCTTCTAGTTGCTGTATGCGGGACTCGGCCTCAGGATGAACGGAGAAGTGGTGCCTCGATGCGCACCCGGGATCCGAACCCGGGCCACCAGCATCGCAGAGCGCGCACTTAACCACCAAGCCACAGGGCCGGCCCCCAAATGATAGGTTTTTATAGAGAAGATTCCATTTCCACAATGGTGTTCTTTAATGTCTAAATAAATGGCTTCCCATAAGAGAGGAACTGTAAAATGGATCTGAGAAAAGAAGATACTTAGCTTTCCATAAGTTTAGACCACCAATAAGTAAAATTATTTTCTTAAATATTCATTATAGATTCTATTTAATATTCATCTTTCTGAATGTTCTTTTATGATAGCAGTCCCCTCCCCCCACACACACATATAAGTAAGGCTGCTTGATTAGAGTTCCTATTTTGTGGTATGTTATCTTCTGAAACTGGCATCACAAAACCAGGCAACTGTAAGAAATGACAACTTTCAATGTACAGCTATAGAGAAGGCAGCTTGGTCAAGGATGTGAAGTGGTCAGATGGAAGGCAAATCCCTCAGGGGTCCAGGTATTTCTAAAGATCAGCCGTGAGGCATCTTACAGAAAATCCTGGAACATGGTATAGTGTGACTCCAGCCTGTCTCTTCAGTTCAAAGGAAGGATCAAGACGTACGGGATCAGAGCGCCACCTTCTGGCAGAGCAATGCCAATGTCTCACACTCAACACTTGTTTCCAGAGGACTGTCTCTTTGATCCTGTTTAAATAATAAGAAAAATGAAATTCTTCCTATGCACAAAAGAGACAGACTCAAAAACACAGCTGTGGTTTTGCACTGTTGGGCTGGGTATATGGATACTGTTGGCCAGAGAATATTATTCTATGACTAGTTGTTTTGCTGTTTTAGATAAGGCAATTTTATCTTGATCTCAGCTTTAAAACTTTAACATTTTATTATAAACATACAATATCATCACAAAGAATTTTGGTAGAATTTTGGTAACTCAGTCTTTTTAAAAGAAACCAAACAAGTTTTAGATAGCTGTGTTCCCTTTGTAGGCTAAATCTAGACTTATTTTAATGGTTCCTTGAAAATTTTTTTCTGTTAGGTGCTACTTTGACAAGCAAATGTGTGAGTGGTCCATTATTTACCTAGAAGATTCTACTGTGGTCATAAATCTGATGTGAGCTCCATTTACAAGTGACAGGCGAGTTAAACATCTGGGAATGTATAACCAAGTTCTAACGTTACACACAGAAAATTCACTATTTTTAAACCTCAAGGAAGTATGATTTCATAGTTTAAATACCAGGCTTCAAAAAGCAGCAATTTCTTCATTTAAAATCATTCTTTATCCACAATGCTTTACTCCGAAGATTATTCCTACTCCTGTCTACTCAGCCTCAGCTAACAAACAATGAAAAATCTTTCTTTTGCTTAGTTTGGTATTTTTGATTAGAGAGGACATCATCTAATGCTTTTCCCCATGCACTTTGCAAAGTCTTAAATGACAGAATACAAGTACATTTCCAAAAATATAACGCAGCATTTATTGTGTCTGAAGTCAGCTGTCTCAGCACAACCACGAACGTGTCTCGAGAAACTTATAAAAGCTGTGAGCTTCTTTGGGCCAGAAAGGCATCACAGACTGAAATAAAAACCTACAGTTAAAGCTTTTATACAAAACTTATACATAGATCAAGTTCTGCTCTCTGACACACAGGCAAGGAAGCCAAGGGGGTAGGGAGTGAACACGGACAGATGCGTTTTTGTATTACGTAGATGCCTGCTATAGCTGAGACAGAAATCAGTGAAACAGAAATCCCAGTCGTGTTATTTCTTTTCCGAAGAGAATAGAGATGCAAATATAGTATTCCAAAGTCATACTGCACATGTCCAAAGTTCAGGTATTCATACTTCTGCCTTCTTTATTAAATAGAAATTAATATTACACCAGTGGCGATGTATGCGTGTCTATCTTTCGTGGGTACATTATTCTCCCCAGATGACCACTCAATGCACCTTGTTCTCACCATTTATTAACAGTTCTATGGTTAAACACATAGGAATATACAGTTCGTTAGCGAGTGTTGTGTAACAAATGAATTCACATAAAATTTACATGTAATTTAATTAGCTGATCAGGGGTCATCAATTGAGGGGCAAAAGAAGGGAAACATATTCTTTCAGATACATAAAGGCTTCATTCAGGAAGAATAGATTTGTTTTTACTCGGCCCTTCTCGGCTAGGAGAACCACCTGTGCAAATATGGGGCTCAAGTCAGATGACAAGCAGGGTTTTTACGGTACCAGGAAGATTGTCATCTCCATGACAACTTCCCTGGTTCCAAACAGAGAACATTATTTTTCTGGAGTCAACATTTCAGGCACACTAGTGGACTCAGTTCGGGCCTGGCGCGCATTGCAACACTCTTTCTCGGGCAGCCATTATTCACCAGAGCTGCTTCTGCCAAGTCATTATTGGTTGGTGATTACAGATCCGACATATTTTATAATGACTGCATCTTTGGAACAGTTCATTTTCAAGGAATGAAGTCATGCATGGTCTGACTCAACAACTCACTGAAACCACAAACCACTTTTCTTATTATTAAGCAGGTCTACACCCATGTAAGTTTTTTAAGGATAACTATATAGTATCACTTATGTGCGTGCATGTAATTTAATTTTTCAGATATTAATTAACAACGGGATTGATTGATATGTGGGAAAATACACAAATAGGCTTCCTGGGAAATTCTGTCAAAGTAAGTATGGAAAAAACAAAACAAAAATGTCCTTATATGAATGTGCTTGAGATGTGACAAGGACAGTTTTTGCAGCAACTCCAACAAGTGCTCCTGGCTCTTTGGAAATCATTCCATCGGGGTTTTGATTTACAGCCAAACCCCATTCTCATTCTAAGAGAACTCTGTACCCTAGGGAGGTAGTTCAGAATTGAAGGGTATGAGATCACAGATTTTGCTCTTTTAATTAATAACTAACCTATACTTCCATACACAGATGACATTCTATGTAACTGGTTTCCCATGAATAACCATTTCAGGCACTTTTGATATAAAGTGTCCCCCTGACAGAACTCTTCTAATAAACCAAAATCTCTTAAAGTTATAGACTTTGATTCAGATTCAAGGCATAGAATTTGGCTCAGAATGAAAAGTCACAGAATTTAGTTCATGCAACTTTCTTCGCTGTGTCTGGCTTGTTGTTGCTGGTTTTAATATAACTGGACTACAATGCACCGGGTAGAAATAATATCACACAAAATACTCCCAAACATTGCAGAACATCAATTCATCAAATCAGAAAAAACCTTCCACTGGACAAACCTAGCAGACCTATCAGCCTGAAAATCAGAATTTTCAAACTGTCCATCTTGTGAAAGATAGTCTATAAAATTTATCAAATCTTTGAAGCTTGAAAACTTATATATTATTTAATATGAGTCTTAGTAAATAAAAAATTTGTTTATTAAATAAAGGTTGTTTATTTGTCTCTCTCAAATCTCAGGAAAAGGCAAACCAAATGGCAATAAATGTTTACAAAGATGAACATATTGATATCTCTAACATAAATGAAGCTTTTCTATATTAATTAGATAAAAGATGAACATACCAACCAAAACACAGGGAAGGCAACAAGCCTTGCACCAAAGAGGAAATTCAATTGGCCAGTGAATAAATGAAACAAGGTCTGACCTTGTTTAGATCTAAACAAGTACTAATTTAAATAACAACGTTCTATTTTTCACTTATCACCACAGCAAAGGTTAAAAATGACCCATTACTGGCGAAGGAACAGAGAAAAGACCTGCTCAGATATTACCTATGGGAATCAGCAGCCCTCACCTCTCTAGGGAGATATCCATAATAATGGCACAAACACTCCAATTCTAGAAACTTTAAAGAAAAGTGCATAAATGGATAGATTTACATATAAGGTACATATAATGCTTCAATACAGCATTGTTTATAACGGTAAGACAATAATAACATGTAAGGGAAGTTACAGTACAGCCACATGTGGAAAACTACACAGCCATTAAAAAGCCTGAGGCCAAAAACTATCTAATAACAAAGGATATTGTTCGTGGTATGCTAAGTAAAAATGGGCTACAATACACCAAGAAAAAGATGATCTCTTTTAAAAACTCTGTGTGTGTATAAACATACATTTTCAATCTCATTTTCTCTCTAACACACTTATCCACACACACACACACACACACACACACCAAGTACAAATAGGCATACACTAAAAGAGTAATAGGTTTTTTATGCCTTGTCAGATGACAGGTGACTTCTTCTCACCCTGGGTTTTTTGGTGCTTTTAGAAATGAGATTGTATTACTTCAGTAACTTGGAGAAGTTATAAAGTTTCATAATGTCAGGTCTAACTAGAATCAGCCAAATGAGAAATCACTATTGGCAGCTGAACGCTTGGCAAAGAAAAGACGGATTTAAATGAAGCTTTAACCAATCTCTAACTCTAAAGCTGTACGTGGAAAGGAGGGTTTAGGCATTAGCAATCGTAAGTAGGACTTGAACAAAATTTTGCAACTCGGACGCAGCTATTGCCAGCCCGGTTCTTCATCCTTCACAATAGGTGTGGCTATCGATTAGAAACTTACCTGAAAAAACCTCTCTTCCCCTACACAGGGGACACCACAGCTGAGCTGCAGTCACTTCCAAACAACCTCTCCCATCATGCAGCCTTGAACAAGTAAGGCCTCGGACAGACTAACTGCCAAGGAAGGTTTTCCTCCCTTTGGTCATCAGAGCCTTGTGCATAAAATCAGTCTTGCATCATCTGTAGAACTCTGGGTCAGTAGCGGAGAAGGAAAGGAAAACTGTGGGAATGAAATAAGAAAAGCCAACCAGTTGCTCCATGCAGAAGTCTGTCATCGTGGTGGCCAATTTCACCTCTGAGCAACACAACAGGCTGATGGTGGTGCTTCCAACAGGGACCAGATCTGCAGCTCCTTTTGTAGGAGGCCATCAATGACCCATGAGACCACCAGGGGGCGATCTAACAGCGAACAGTGTTCTATCCTTAAGGAAGACCAGCAAAGCAGCCAGTAATTTCCAACCTCTAGTTACTGGAGGGAACTAGCTCCCAGGTAAGGTCTGTTTTAAATTTTAATTATAAACATAAACAGGGTCTTTCTTTTTAACTTCTCTGGAAATGTAAGCATAAAAGGCTTTCTGCTAGCGATCTGAGAAAGGGGAGAGTATGGTACACCAAATTGATAAGTTGGAGAATAAATATTTTTTCTCTCTCCTCTCCACTTCCCTAGCCATAACCAAGGCTTCCTCCTCCAAAAGACAAAATAAATAAATAAACCTCCAGCAACAGAGCCTCTAGTGTCCTTCTGAGGTTCTATTTATATGTTACGACTGTGGTTTAAACAGACAGACCAAAAAACTTTATACAGCAGCAAAGACAATTTCACCCATCCCAGGCCTCTCAGCATTTGTCATCTGTAAGCCTCACGTGGCAATTAGTTAGTTACCGCCTCGTGAGGGCTCTAGTATTGGTATTTAATGCTCATAAGCTGCAAATCCTTTGTGGAAGGAGGGGAGATACAAATAATAATTCTAAAAACTCTGCTGTTTGCATTTTTCATGTGTTGGACTTTTCCTTTCTTATTTTCCAAGACCCCTGTGAGGAAGCACCTTTGCCTTCATATTCACGGTGGAAACCAGCCACCCGGGGGATGGGAGGATCAGAGGATACTGCATTCATGGAGCATCTACCATGTGACAGCACTGCGTAGGTTCTGTGAGTGGATCCAGCAGGACACAGATGGAAGCAGTAGTCTGTGCCCTCGGAAGGTGGGTTCAGCAACTGGCCCTCTACATTCTCTTTGTCCCTAATTTCTCCAACATGTGTGAACTAGGCTGATCAGTTCATTCCCTGTGCCTCAGTTTCCTCATCTATAAAAACCCAGGAGTTGAACCAGATGATGGCTAAAGTCCCTTCTGGACCTCACTGCGCTATGGCTCAAGGGGGCATTCCATCAGGATTAACGTACTGATAACTGAGGCTTGGAGCCCTGTGACGCACACATAGTCACACCAAAATTTCCTTTTCAACTGGGGTCCCCATCAGGTCAGATGAGGTTATTATACAACTAAAGGAAGCAGGGGACACTCATTTGGGCCAGCTTGGGGGACAGACAGAATCTTGCTCTGTTCCTCTTCTTAATCTTTTGTTGAAATTCTATGGTTAAGAAACTATTTCACTTTTGGAGGTGATGGATATGTTTATTACTTTGACTGGTATACACATATGTCCAAACTCATCAAATTACGTAAATATGTGCAGTTTTTGTATATCAATTATACCTCAATAAAGGTGTTAAAAAAAAATTGGGGTCTCAAGCTTTCAGGCCTTCGGAGGGAAAACAGCCTCTTCCCTAACCACCTAAGAGACTGTAAGCGGCAACTTGCAGCTCGACTGAACAATCAATTCTGCCAGAAGACGCCTGAGTCAACACCAAACAGACAACTTCCTGCCTTGAGTCCTGGCACGTGCGGCCCTTCTCTATGACGTCTCTGAAAATCTCTATGACGTCTCTGAAAACCGCTGCAAATGTTTCCACCTGAGGAAACAAGGGGCCAGCGCCTCCTGCCACCTTTCCTTGAAAGCAATAGTTGCAAATGTTTTGAAAACAACTGATTATCTTTAAAGCAGCAGCAGCAACAACAAAAAGCCATTTGTTTCTTCTACCATGACTGACTCATTTGTGGTACATTGGGGGTGGGGGGGTGGAAGAAGAGAGGCACTCAAACAAATGTTCCGTCAAGTAGTTTGATAATCAGGAAAACATCAAATAGATGTGCAACCAGCTTGGTAAACTACTTAGCTTGAGGATTCAATAGGATCTGACTGCATTCTTCCTGTCGCCTCAGTCCATTTTCCTGTTGATTAATCCACTGGCTGGAAATCAAGCACAACTATAATACATAGTCAGTGGGTACGTATGTATGTAAAGTTAGTGTGCTTGCATACAACGTTTAAAGTCTGGTCTTGCCTAGGAACCAGCAATTCCCTTCCTAGGTCTCTACTGGAAGAAGACACGCTGGCACATGTGCACAAAGAAAAATGGGCAAGGAAGCTCACAGCGGCATTGCCTGGAAAAGCAAAAAAACCTGCAAACAACCTAAATATCCAATAATACAGGAATGGATAAAGTGTGCACTCTATGCCAGTGAAAAGGCCTGAACCAGAGGGAACTTTAAAAGACCCCTAAGTAGAAAATACAGACGGAAAGAACACATCAAATTCACAGGAGGGACTGATCTCTGTAGGAGGGAGGAGTCTAGCTTGGGAGAGGGAGTTAGAGCTGAGGAAGGCTATAGTTACATATGTAACATTCCACAATTCTAACATTAAAATATGAAGGAAACTGTATATTCAGGTATTACTTTTTAACATATTAAACAGAAGAAGGAAAATAACCACTGAAAGCAGATGTGGCAAAATGTTTCCAGTGGCTCTTCAGGTGGCAGGAGCACGGGTGACTTAATTTCTCCTTTGTGCTTTTTCTCTTTTTCACCCGTCCCTTTCGCCTGTCCCTTACCCCCAGTAAGAAAACAAATAAGCAAGCCTTTCTCCTTAAGTGGTGTCCCGGACGCCCACCATTAGGGAGAATGAAGTCTACTGAAGGAGCTTCGAGCCAACGCAAAAAAAAGCCAAAGCAGAAAGCCGGTACTATTCTCTCAGTCCTTCTCGTCCATGCTGGAAAAATGGGCCTCCTTTGCAAGCCACCCAGGCCCCAGCCCTGGGTAGCCCTGGACCCCCTTCCACAGCCAGGGGGCCCCCACAGCTGGCTTTTAGTTGGGTGAATCTGCTTGGATTCCAGAGTTGGTCTTGCTTGTGCATTTGGACAGTCTTTGTGATGCAAGCTTTTCCCTCATCTTGCAACTGCTCCTAGAGGACATGGCTTTGCTCCAACATTTCATCCTGAAATCCCATCCCCAGGGTGGTGGGCCTGGGGCAGATCAGGGGATGGAAGGAGAAAATGGCAGCGTTTCTCACGAAGTGCCGTCCACAGCATCAGCAGACAAAGCAGGGCATGTTGTAAAGAGCAGTTCTGCTGGCAAGCAGAAAACAAATCCATGTATTCGGACCGAGGCTTGGCAGCCGCATCTCAAACAGACATCTCATTGTGCTTGGGTTTAAAAGCAGCCCTTCCGAAGCAGGGGCCTTTCGGGCTGACAGTTAAATCACAACGGCCGGTATTTACACGAACGACTTCCAACCGTCTGGGCGAATACATAATATTTCTATTTCACAGAAACCGGGGATGGTAACAACACAGAAGCTGGCGAGACCAGAAAGTAAACCTCTGATTAGCACGAATGTGTTGAAGAACCAGAGCTTATGTACTTGCAGGCGTTCACATACTCCTTCTGCAAACAAGTTATTTTTTTTAAAATTAAGTGACAAACGTAATAGATCAGAATACACTCATACATACATGTGTCGCGACGGCTTTATGCTCGTTAAATCTAGTGTGCTCCTGTGAGTGCTCTCAGCCATTCGGACATTAGCAGGGAAGCTGCGTGATTCTCAGCTTCTTATTAAAAGCTAGGAAAGCACAGCCGGGTCAGCCCAGAGCAGCGGCGGACCCTTCCAAACGCAGACAGGAAACACCTGGGACTCTGTGCGCCACTCGGACCGCACTTCACATTTCACAACAGAGGATTCTGGATTGTTCATAAATATTTGTCTTGTTTCAATAAAACACTCTTCAACCAGTTTCATAAACCCTCGGTTCAGCAGGCTAAAACACACACGCTACTAGTCGTCCACATTCTTTTAACGTTGCATATATTTATGTGGACAATATCCTGGAAACATAAAACCCAAAGAAATGCGCGTAATAGCGTCATAAGGGAATTGCAGCTTGTTCGGGGGCAACTCTCTCCTCCCATAAATAATACTTGTTTTCTAAAAAAAATTTCTTTAAGTACTGAATTGAAATATAAATTAAACCCAAGTTTCCCTAATTTGCCTGTTGGAGTAAATAAGACCCAGACAAACCCTTCTGGAGGCTTACAAAAGCTTTAATATAATCGATTATTAAACCTCCAGCTATAGGGTAGAGTCATACCAAAGGCCTTGTAGCCAGACATTCATACCTGAACACACCTGAACATGTCGAGCCTTTAAAATGTTTTAATGCTGGGCCGGCTCCGTGGCTTAGCGGTTAAGTGCGCGCGCTCTGATGCTGGTGGCCCGGGTTCGGATCCCGGGTGCGCCCCGAGGCACCGCTTCTCCGTCCAACGTGAGGCCGAGTCCCACGTACAGCAACTAGAAGGATGTGAACCTATGACATACAACTATCTACTGGGGCTTTGGGGGGAAAAAACTGAATAAATAAAATCTTTAAAATGTTTTAATGCTGTTTTTAGACACTAAAATAAAAATTAGCTCAGCTTACACATTGAAAATTCGATTTTTAAAAGCTGTTTTCTTCATATTTTTAGACTCTTCTAGATTTTCCACCATGTACATGTATATGTCTTGTTTTCATTTATTTTAATGACTACTTTAATAATCAGAAAAATGAAAATGTCAAATACACATTTAGACATACAAAGAGGAAAGGAGAGGAGAGACAAGGAAAAACATGGGAACTGTTCAGAGCAGTTTAGAGATGCTGTGTGTCGACCCAGGGGACAGCAGAGTGCTGGAGAGCATCTCTGAAAATTACCGCTGGCCGGTTCCAGGACAGGGGCTCTGCGGGGAGCGGGGGCCTGTCTGGGAGCAGAGCTAACAGGAGCGGCACTGAGATGGGGCTCTGAGGAG